GTGTTTATCTTCCTTCACTATCCCATAGACCCATAATTCTCAAAATTTGTGGTCTCTGAACCTCTTTAGACAAACTTTAAATTTCACATAAGCTCTTAAAAATTATGAGGACCCTAAAGAGCTTATACATGATATCTTTTATTTAGTGTATTATAAGTCAAGTCAAAATATTTTAATTATTTTAAAAATACAATAGATACTTTATCATAAATAAGATTCTATGAAAAATAACCACATTTTCCAAAACAAAAATATTTGGCAAAAGAGCAGCATTGATTTACATTTTTGCAAATCTCTTTCATATCTGGTTTAATAGAAGACAGCTGGGTTCTCCTATCTGCTCCTGCATTCAATCTGTTGTGATATCACACATTATGCAGCCTCTGAAAACCTCCTTGTATATTTTTGAGAAAATGTGAGTGAAAAAGGCAAATCACGCCCTGGTGTTGCTGTGAAAATAGTATGACCTCTCGGACTTTGTGAAAGAACCCCGGAGCAGTGTCCAGATTTTCTGGTGTCAATATATCAGCACGGCAGAGTCTCAAGTTCCAAGTCAGCTCATTGTTAGAGGTGGGAGAATTTTACCAGACTACAAAGCCAACAGAATTGGACATGAAAACAACTGCTGGTGCAACTGTGACTATGCCCTGATTAAATGAGACTGGAAAACCCTTAATCTCAGCCTCGCCATATAACCTCCGGTTCAGAAACTCAGGCCTGAGCCATGCAGAAGGCCAGACCCCTGTTGTTCTGCCGTTTGGAATGAAGCTTGTTTGTGAATAAAATATTGGAATCCATCCATTTCTCTGGATTGATAATAGCAACTGTTTTTTTTGTTATTGCTTTTCTTGTTTGTTTCTTTATTTGTTTTAGAAGAGAGTCAATTCAAAAAAATAAAATCTTTTCTTGATGTAATTCCTTTTTCAAAAATTATCTTTTTAAATTCTGGAAATCCAATGTTTATGACTTAAGCCTTGTTATTTTTATACTGTTAAAGGTTTGGGGTTTAAGACTTTGTTTTGTGTTTTTGGCAAACCTTTAAACAAATATTGTTGCTGAATAAGAACCTCTTCAAATGTTTTACTTATTCTTTACTGACTTTTCAAGATACACACAGTAGTGACATCACAGCCACCATATCTAGCAGTGACACTTTAAACCATTTACCAGGCAAACTTAAGTGTGGTTCATTCTCTGCACCTGTTGGGGATGGACAGTCCCTCCTGGAGGGGATCCAGAGATTACCTCTAAAATAATTTCAAAAGAAGGTGGAACTGGGGCTCTCTGGGGCTGACTACTTTCTGAGGGAGAGGCATCAGGTACAAAGCTGTTTTTCTGTCCTCAAAACTCTACAACACAGGCTAGTCTTCCCCTCCCCCAACTATTTCTAGAAATTTGAAACGTTATTGTATCAGTCAAGACTAAATTGCTGGCACCAAAACCCAAATTGAAGAGAAGCTTTTGGAGAGCAAGGGGTGGAGTATCCTCATTTATTGGAAACATTTTGCACTGGGCATGGTGGCTCACGCCTGTAATCCCAGCACTTTGGGAGGCCGAGGCAGGTGGATCACCTGAGGTCGGGAGTTCAAGACCAGCCTGACCAACATGGAGAAACCCCGTCTCTACTAAAAATACAAAATTAGCCGGGGTGGTGGCGCATGCCTGTAATCCCAGCTACTCGGGAGGTTGAGGCAGGAGAATTGCTTGAACCCGGGAGGCAGAGGTTGCACTGAGCTGAGATCGCGCCATTGCACTCCAGCCTAGGCAAAAAGAGCGAAACTCTGTCTCAAAAAAAAAAAAAAGAAAGGAAGGAAGGAAGGAAGGAAGGAAGGAAGGAAGGAAGGAAGGAAGGAAGAAAGAAAGAAAGAAAGAAAGAAAGAAAGAAAGAAAGAAAGAAAGAAAGAAAGAAAGAAAGAAAGAAAGAAAGAAAGAAAGAAAGAAAGACTTTGCAATCATTCCACTCAATTTAGGAGTGCTGTGAAAATATAAGCATAAATAAAAACAATATATAAAACAACATAAACAATACAAATAACATCATGTATGGATTTTTGGCTGTGAAAATTGTAATAGCAACTTAATAATATGAAAAGCATGCTAAGTAAAAATGGTCCTACTCTTAGCTGAAGCACATTCTCATCTCTAGGTCTGTCTCCATCTCTGTCTCTCTAAATTATCTATACTATTTCTATACCTATACCCATATCTCTCTACGTATGTAGCTCAGGAACTTTGTACTTGCTGTTTCCTCTTTCTGGAACATTCTTTCCCCCAAATACATGGATGAGGCCCTCTGACACTATAGCAGTCCCTAACAGCAGCTGTGGGCTCCCTGGCCAACTTTCTGTGATTCTCATATCAGTGCGACTCCTACACCAATGATATACTCCATGCACATGGTGGGGGGTTAAGGGGTTAGGGGCATACGGCAACTTGCCAATGTCAGAACATTATTTTAAGTCACTTAATTACACCAAGCTACAGATTTTCATCAGTGAAAAAGAGAGTGGTCCAGACTGGTAGTTTTCAAAATCTGTCCCCCAGAACCCCAAGATCTCCCCCAAAGCAACTTCAGGGGTAATGTTGGCAACGAGAGAGGAAACCAGTGCGCAGAGCTCTGGCCTCTCTGCCCCCACCTTAATGAGGGTAGTGGTTCAGTGGTACTCCAAAAGTCCAGATATTCACCCTAAAACATATAGGAATTTAGTAGATGATTTTAAAGGTGGCATTTTCAATAAATAGGGGAAAGATTAATAAATGATGCTGGGACCACTAGGTAACCATTTGGGAAAAAAGATGATAAGATGGAATCTTAGTTCCCAATTTACACAAAAGTAAATTCCAAATGAGTCAGATTTAAACATGAAAAATGAAACCATAAAACTAGTAGAAGGAAAAAATTAAAGAACTTTAAAATAACCACAAAGAAGTAGAGAGAGCTTTCCAAATATCACACAAAACCCAGAAGCCATAATCGAAAAGATAAATATAATAAAAAGATAAAAAAATATATAACCAAATAAAAATGACCTTAAATCTATATACGTGGCAATAAATCAGCATGAACAAAGTCAAAAGATAATTGACAAAATGAGAAAAATATTGTGACTCAGATTACAGACAAGGATATTTTTCTTAATGCGTAAAAAACTCACAAATAAGTAAGAAAAAGGCCGGGAGCAGCGATTCACACCTGTAATCCCAGCACTGTGGGAGGCCAAGGCAGGCAGATTACAAGGTCAGGAGATTGAGACCATCCTGGCTAACACGGTGAAACCCCATCTCCACTAAAAGAAAATACAAAAATTAGCCGGGCATGGTGGCGGGCGCCTATAGTCCCAGCTACTCGGGAGGCTGAGGCAGGAGAATGGCATGAACCTGGGAGATGGAGCCTGCAGTGAGCCGAGATCATGCCACCGCACTTCAGCCTGGGCGACAGAGTGAGACTCCGTCTAAAAAAAAAAAAAAAAAAAATCAGTAAGAAAAAAAGAAAAAAAAAAAGGGAGGGGGGGGGGATTGCATTGGGAGTTATACCTGATGTAAATGACGAGTTGATGGGTGCTGACGAGTTGATGGGCGCAGCACACCAACATGGCACAAGTATACATATGTAACAAACCTGCACGTTATGCACATGTACCCTAGAACTTAAAGTATAATTAAAAAAAAAAAAAAAAAAAGAAAAAGAAAAAAAGAGCAAAAATGAGCAAAGGCTATGAACGAAGGACATATAAATAACTTTTAAATATATGTCAACCTTATGCATATTTTTCAAATATACATTAAGTACTAACCCAATCAGAAAAGATCAAAAAGTTTGATAAGATACTGAGTGATGTGGGGGGTAGAAGGAATTAGGCACTTTCATACATTGCTGATGGCAGTAGAAACTTATGGAACATCTGTGGAGAGCAATTTGGCAACATGTATCAAAATTTTAAATGAGCAATGTTGACAAGTAATTCCGTATCTTAGAATGTATTCCTTAGCTAACTTGCTCATTTGTAGTATTACATCATATGTACAAGGATATGCATATTCCATAGCTATGAAATTGGAAGCAAACAAATAATCTAATAATAGATTAGAGAATAAATGTATTGTGCACAGACCTGAAATGGAAATCCATGCAGCAGTAAAAAAGAACAAGGTGGCTCTACTTGCACTGTTCTGGAACGATCTCCATGGTACATAGTGAAAAAGCAAAGTTCAGAAGGTTATTGTGCTACTGCTTACAAAAGTGTGTGTGTGAGAATGTGCTTGGATATGCATAAAACATCTCTGAAAGGATACAAAAGAAAGGAGTAACAATAGTTTCCTGTGGGTAGAGGCTTTGGGTGGACAGGGGTCAACGAGTAGAGGGAGACCTAGTTTTCCTATATGCTTTTGTACATGTTAAATTTTCACCATGTGCAAATATTATCTAACTAAAATAAAAGTTTAAACAATAATTTTATAATGTTCAGCTTCTTTAAAACCTTTGAAAATCACTGAGCTACATGATGCCTAGGATTGCCACTGAGTAATGTTTATTACTGTGATAGAAGCACTTTTTAATGTACTAGAAATTCTGCTCCATAGCTGTACATGCAACAAAAATCTTTATGCTTTTCACCATCTGTTAAATTCCATTGCATAGACATTTGTGGAGTTCATCACATAAGTTATATGTAGCTCAACCTTCCCCAGACCTTAGCAACCTCTTGGTTCAGATAGGGTTCCTGTAGCAACAATGACTCAACACTGTTCTCACAGACATATTTTGAAACAGGACCTATAAAGTCCTCCCATCCCCTTAACTGGGCAAGGTTTTCTTGAAATCTTCACGGGGCACCTCTCATGTGTTCCTAAACAAGTGTGCTCCCAGCAGGTCCTCCCACGGCTCTGCTGAACACTGCAGGTCCCTTGAGACCCACTTTCTCACCCAGCCCTGCTGCTTCCCGGCAGATGCCATTAGGGATGCGCTAGAGCCCCTCCTCTGTGAGAAAGCTGCCGGTCACCTGGGGGAGGTGGAGTGAATGCCACGCTCTGTTTCCATTGTGTTCTGTCAGACAAATCCCACAAATATGCTGCTTGGACTCCCAAATTTTATGGAACTTGGTGACACAGCTCTTCACGTTTTGCTCACAGTCACTCTGTCCTCAACAGGACTCCTCCGGGAATGCAGATGGAGTCGGAATGGTAGACAAAACTGGTGAAAGACAGTTTTTACTCAAAATCATCTCTCCTGTGACGAGAATATAAACCAAAGAACTCAAAGGGCTTGAGGAAAGAACCATCTTCAGAAAACAATGTTCCTTGACTCTGTCACCTCTCTACACCTCTCTACACCATCTGTTATTATGACAGGAAGACGGAGCCAAAACTGAGAGAGCAGTTTAGGAGAGGTTTGAGTCACTGGAAAGCAAAAATAATCCTGACTACTGCACTGATATAGCCACCATTTTGCCCTTATCATCTGTCATCTTCACAACACCTCCAATTAATTTTCAACATGAGTGGTAGAAAATCTGACCAAACTGGTTAAACCCCAAAATTGGAATGTTAGCTGATATAGTAAATAGAATGAGACAAATTGGCTTCAGGCATGGCCTGATCCAGAGCTCACAAGCCCTGAAAGCAGCCTAGTTTCTCTGTTCCTCAGCTCTGCTTGCTCAGTGTTAACTCTTCTCCAAGCTCTCCCGTCATGGTTACAAGATGGCTGCCAGTAACAACTCCTGAGCTTTTTCCTTCCAGGTTAAATTCTGTTGCATATCCATTTATGGGGTTTATCACATAAGCTATTGTAACCCGATTTTCCCCAAACCTTAGCAACTTAGGACCAAATCCAGTAGAAACGAGTGAGTCGGCTTCCCTGAGAGTTCAAAACAAGAGCCTAGGAATTGAGTTTCTTTGCCTGTGGCTCATCCATGGGTCAGACACCATAGCGAGGAGGAGGAAGAGTCCCGAGTGTCTGAACTCAGGCCCTATGCTCCCTCCAGGGCCATCACTGTCACCGGAAGTACTTGCGCAGAGGTGGAGGAGGGCTGGCTCCCCAAGCAAAAGTAGGGCGGTGTTGCCAAAGCATAGTAAATTCTAGGCAGCGAAGATGGCAGTTGTCCACAACAAACCCTATGAGATTGAAATTATTCTCTTTGTACAGATGTGGAAATTGAAGGTCTCAGATGTTAAGACTCTTGCCCCAAATCATATAATGGTATAGATTGGATTTTACCCCATTAATGTATGCGATGAGACTAAAAGGATAGGTAGGCATCTGCCAGGCAGACTGGAGCAAGGAGGGTGCTCAAAGCGAGGATTTATGAATACACAGCAGTATGAGGGCATTAGGGGAGGGGGGGCCTTCAGGGAACTTGGAGTTATGGGCAAAGTTATAAGACAGTGTAGAAAAGAAAAGCTCAGGCTCTGGTGTCAGATGCATCCAGAAGTTATTTACCAGTTCAATAGGTTGCAGTGAGCAGGTTGCAGTGAGCTGAGATTGCGCTACTGCACTCCAGCCTGGGCAACAGAGCAAGACCCTGTCTCAAAAACAAAAACAAAACAAAACAAAATTACTAAGAGGTTTGTTTTTTGCTTTGTTTCACATTTTAATACAGATTCCTGAACTCTCCAGGGATAGAGAGATTCCTAGGTTGAGGTATCAGGAAATTTCCTCCCAGAAAACTGTTGGTCATATAGGGGAATTCATCCACCTCCTTCCACGTGGCCAAGGATGTAACTGCTCACTTCACCTTCATCATCTGTAATACAGTGCCAGTAAGCTTCACAGACCTCTTGAGAGGAATGAGTGAGATAGCACAAAGAGGCTGGTATAGTGCTGAGCTCAAGGAGTTCCACAGATGGTCGATGTTATGGTCCTGGTGAGGATAGGTCGCAAGAGGTAACGAATGGGGAAGGTGTGGGAAAATAAGACGGAAAATTAACCATGGGTCAAATCACGCTAAGATAAGGATTTTAGCTTTTACCCTCCACAAAATGAAGAAGGATTTTGATCAGAGGGATGCCCCAATTAGTTTTTCATTTTAGAAACATTATTCTGGCAGCAGTGTATAGCTGAGCAGCAGAGAGGTGGGGTGGGCAGGGGGAGGGTCCAAAATGGATGGCAGTGAGACCAGTTAGGAGACAATTTTAATACAGTCATGTGCCACATCACGTTTCAGCCAACGATGGACCTCATATGCGATGGTGGTTCTGGGTGATTGGAATACTGTATTTTTACTGTGCCTTTCTAATATGTTTAGATACACAATTACCATTGTGTTACAACTGACTGCAGTGTTCAGCACAGTAACTTGCGATACAGGTTTGTAGCCTAGGAGCAATAGGCCACATCATATATAGCCCAGGTGTGTAGTAAGCTATACCATCTAGGTTTGTGTGAGCACACTCTGTGATATTTCCACATCGTTGAAATTACCTAACAATTTCCCCATCGTTACCCCTGTCATCAGGTGACATATGGCTAGTCAACTTGTTCGGTGGTTGCTAAACTTAGTTCAACATTAAAATTACTAAGGAAGGCCAGGCAGAGTGGCTCACGTCTGTGATCCTAGCACTTTGGGAGGCTAAGGCGGGCAGATTACTTGAGGCCAGGAGTTCAAGACCAGCCTGGTGGACATGATGAAACCCCATCTCTACTAAAAACAGAAAAATTAGCCAGGCATGGTGGCACACACTTGCAGCCCCAGCTACTCGGGAGACTGAGGCAGGAGAATTGCTTGAACACGGGAGACGTAGTTTGCAGTGAGCCAAGACTGTGCCACTGCACTCCAGCCTGGAGATACATGTGTCTTAAAAATGGACATATTTCCTGACCCTTCAACTCCACTTCTATACGCATATCCTAAGAAAATAATTCGGGCTATGTACACTCCACCCTGTCTCAAAAAGAAAACAATTACTAAGGGAGGGCTTTTTTTTTATTTTTTGCTTTGTTTCATGTTTTCATACAGATTCCTGGACTCTCCAGGGACAGGGAGATTCCCAGGTTGAGGTATCAGGAAGTTTCCTCCCAGAAAAACTGTTGATACCATAGGAGAATCGATCCACCTCCTTCCCAGTGATCAGCATTGCCTAAAGGCAAACTAGAATTGTTATAGCAAGAATGTAAACACTAAGAAACAGTCAACTTTCTGGTTTTTTAATGTTAAAACAACAACTCTTGAAGCCCCTTGGGGCACAGGTTGGCATACCCAGATAAAGATTGCCTGAGATGGAAGGGATGGAGAGAATGGGATCGAGTGGCACTTTGCAGGAGGTCATTTGGTCTGACCAGAGCAAACCACCAGGAAGGAAGCAACCTTCGAGGTGATGGTATTTGAAGGTGGCGCCATTGGGAGGTAATTAGGTTTAGATGACATCATGAGGATGGGACCCTCATGATGAGGTTAGTGCCCTTATCAGAAGAGGAAGAGACCAGAACATACTCCCTTTCTCCATCGTGTGAGGACACAGCAAGAAGGTAGTCATCTGCAAACCAGGAAGAGGGCCCTTCCTCACCAGATACCAAATTTGCAGACCCCTTGATCTTTGACTTCGCAGCTCCAGAACTGTGAGAAAGAAATGTCATTGTTTAACCCACCTCAGTCTATGGTACTTTGTTACAGCAGCCTGAACTGAGTCAGACATTCAGCATTGGGAGATGGCCAGCAGGGAACTGCACGGAAGCTGACCCAACACCTACAGTACCAGTCCCCATTCAGGTGAGCACTGGCTGCCTTTGTGGAAGAACCACTCCCACAGTTCTGCCTTCAGCCAGAAGGCCTCCCATCCATCGCTGTATCCTGGTGGCTCTATGACTGTAGACTTGCTGACTTTACTCTGAGCTGCCTGATGTGGATAACAGATAACTCCCACTTCAATGGCCCAAATACTCACTGGCCTTCACATTTCCATCCTGGGGATGAATCATAATTCACCCAAACATCTCCCCTATTCCCAGATGTTTACATTGTTTTCAGGTTTCCATTAGTACATTTAATACTTCAATGAACATGTTGCACATAAAGCTTTTACTGCATAACTTCTAACTCTAAAATATCTGGTATTCTTTGACAAAACCTAGTAATGGCTATTTCTTTGAGTTCAGGATACCAAGTCTCAAACACTATTCCCTTCTCAAAAGATACAATTAAAGTTCTTTTTATGAAATTTAATACCTGTTGATGAAAAAAAAAAAAACTCTTAGCAAGCAAAGAATAAAAGGGAATTTTCTTAACCTAATAATAGGCACCTACCAGAAACCTCAGCCAACATCTTACTTAATGCTTCTTTTAAAAGTCAGGAATGAGATATGGGTGTCCACTATCACTGTTTCTAAAACACTTCTGTTGGCACTTCAACACTAGAAGTCATAGAAAAGAAAAAAAAGGAAAGAGATTGCTGCCTCTTCCAGGATGTAGAGAAGCAGGCATTCTGATTCACTGCTTGTATAACTTCAACCTTTAAGAATGACAATTTGGAGATATATGTGTCTCAAAAATGGACATATTTCCTGACCCTTCAACTCCACTTCTATAGGCATATCCTAAGAAAATAACTGGGGCTATGTACATACATGTAACAGGTTACTGTCTCTACTACTATCTAGTCAGAAACCTCCTATTTGACAAGGTACTGGTTATGTGAATTCCAGCATGAACACATGCAGGATTATTAGTCACTAAAAATCATATTGTATAAGAGCATTTACCAGAAAGACAGCTTAAACTACCACGTTCAAAATACCTTTTTTTGTAGATAACGGCATGTACACACATACACAAACGTACTGGAAAGATCTATACAGAATATTGGTGATTCCTTATGCTCTTTGTTTTCCCAATTTTCTAAAACCTGCTACTTTTCTAATTAGAAAAAAACAATATATTTTAAATGCTGCCTCAAATGCTGTAGGCAGCAAAGAAAGTGGCTCAGAAACACTGTAAAGAGATTTTATATGGGAAGATGGTAGCAACTATACATCTATTCATACAGAATCCTTAATGCCATGCAGCTAAACTGTATTCTTATTTTTCATTTTATTAAGACAAAAATAAATGGTAGATCTAAAGGTTAATTTTAGGTAAACTCTCTTAGTTTTAAACTCTGTGCTTACTCATATTCAGGAACCAGCTATTCTGCAAATGCTGAGCAGGTCACAGGCCACCCTGCAGCCCAGTGATTAGACTGGGGAAGATGGAGCTTATCGGGCTGTTTCCCTGGTTCATGTGACCAAGTGGGGTCTGGGGTTGGGGGTGAAGGAAGAAGGGAGAAGGGACGGTCACAACAGTCTTCCATGCATGCACTCAGACAATGGCACAACAGTTACAACAATGAGAATCTTTATGCATATAACTTTGTGATCAATACAATCCTTCAGAACAAGAGACAAACAAAGGAATACAATGTCCCAAACCATTGCAGTCCATAGGCTGACATTGCTAACTAGATTTAGATCATCTGGAGGCTTTTGTAAGAGGAACTGAGGTGTAGAGGCATCAAAATGAGTTGATTCCCGGCAAAAGTGCTAAGAGGCTACAGACATATCTAAAAATCAAGAAACCACTACTTGTTAAGTACTTCTGGTGTTTGCATACAGTGTCCAATAAATAGGGAAGAGAGTAAGTCCATACTGGTCTTTGTACATGCTGTGTGGTAGAGGCTACTGCAGGTTTCTTTATTTTCTAAAGTAGGCAAGGCTCATTAATTGACCAATTCACATTGTGATTACTTGGTACAATGCATGCATGTTATTGGTACACAGAGTGCTTTCACAGGAATCTGCTGGATTTTCAAAATTCTGACAAGGCCATTTTTGTCTCAGAGGACTATTATTATCCTTTCAGTTATTCATTCATTCAACAGATATGTATCCCAAACTGTGTGTTATCTCATCCATCCCCTTCTCAGGAAGACCAACCCTGGAAAGAGGTGAGAGGAGAGTGTTCACAGGGCACAGCATGTGTTGTTGATACTGTTTGTGGACAGCAATGGTGCAATCCCAAGGACTTGAATAAGTGGCCTCTACCTCATTAACCAACTCCTTGAACCCAGACCAACAGGGAGCTAGTGAGCTGATTTAAGAGAGGAGAGAACAATTCTCCATTCAAGTCAGATATCCCTCAAGGGGAACATGACTATTCTGACTCATTCGGGAAGGGGCAAAGAAAGGGATATGAGGTGGAATCATTCTTATCTGTAAAGTTTAGCTGATGGAAGAAAATGGTGTCATTTGCTTAACTTTGGAAAATGCAGTGGGTCTCTGGGCCCTGAGGGTGGTATGCAAAATAAGCCCATCTCTCCACCTACACCCTTCCCAAAAAACAGGCTGTGGGCGTGGCTGCTTTTTAAGAAGCTGGATGCTAACTTCAGATGGCACAGAATTCAAGACCAAAACTGTAATAACTTATTAGTCATATTTTCCATCTTCAGTTCCTTTGGGGGTAAAAATATCACGAAGAGGATAAA